CCCCCCCCCCACCCCCACTCCCAAGAAAAACTACACTAATTTGAACAACAGCAACATTGAAAAAATTCACAAGATAATCCACCAATCGCCTCAGACTGAGTGGAGTTACCATAAAAATTAAATACGTACAAGGAAGAAAACCGTGTACAATGAGCACTGAGAACAACAGCGTGAAAGAAAATTGAGAACGACAGCATGAGAAAGAAAACAGACTTGACCGTTCTGAAGAAGAGATACCTGAGGTAAACATGATAAAAGTAAACTTAACTTACTATTTTTAGCATTGTGCACAAACAATGTACCCAGTTAGTAATGGTTTTTATAACTGTACGGCAAACACTTGCAATACTTCACACTAATTTAGAGGACTGCAAGAAAACTAAAGAGACACAAACTTCTGACGTTTCTCTCTTGGGTCTCAGTAGTAGAAATAAGAACATTGACAAAATAACGTTCATCATATCCTACTGGCTTTAAAGCAAGATAGATCGATTGGAATAGATGGAGAGAAAGAAAAAGCTTCTGAAGTAAAGGATACCAGTAACAAGCATATTTGTTAATAATAGCTTAGAGGTCAAACAGACAGCAACTTTTCATGCTATTCTCATGAGCTGTTAGCCCCCAAGACGTCCTATACAAATACTTTACACCCTGGATGATGGTGTTGCTTTTTATTTTTCAAAAAGATTTGTTGGAGGAAAACCCGGGGCACAGAACACCTTTAGTAACTCGCCCCTTTCTGTGATTGCAAAGAAGCCAATTTAATTTCAAGACACAATACTCAGGTAAAATCCTGGCTTAAGCACGCTTATCTTTGTCGTCTCTGATTCATTTTCAGGTTGCGTTTTACAGTTTTTGTAAGACTGACTGTCCCTGACAGCTAATATTAACAGTAGTGGAGGTGTTAAAGACAGCAATTGAGAAATGAGTATTGATACCTAAAATAATAAAAGATTTATGGTAAATGAACAATACCTCTCCCCCCCCCACCCCCACTGAAAATCAGATTGAAAGACTGCATAACAACTTGAAACAGCAAAGAGATGTAGCCCTGGCCATAGGTCCATATAATCAATTAGTGGCATTACATGGTAAGGGTTACATTCCTTTGCTGATACTTGAGCCGTAAGACTGCATTTTTTTTAAAAGGGGAGGATTGAGAGAAAAAGACTTTGGCAATTCTTTATGTATAATTCAAGACCTTCCATCAAAATAACTGCCCCACGACAATTACCTCATCAAATCCATGGCGCATGATAGCCTGCACTTTGCTGTGGTAGCTCTCCGCGTCGCTGGCAGCTTGAGAACTAGCCGAGCTTGTTGTGCTGCCATTATCACTACCTCCACTGCCGCCGCCGCCGCCACCACCACCACCACCACCACCACCACCACCGACGACTCCAACAGCAACCGGGGTGCCACTAGAGCCTCGAGAGGGGCCGTTGGCTTGAGAAGCATTTTGGTAGGGTCTCAAGCTGTCGCGAATCTCCGCCAGGGCTTTGTGGTGCTGGTTGTCGCGCCGAGTCATCTTACTCCCAGCAGACTTTTCCAGCAGGTTAGGGGTGCTTTGAGATAGCTCAGGCTTGAGGTGCAGGCTCGACAGTTCGTTGTATCCCTCAAGATCATTTTTGCGAAGGTGGCTGAGGCTGTCGCGAATTTCATTTAACATTTGCCGGTTATTACCGACAAATGTTACCAGCAGGGGTCGTCTTCCGCCTGGCCTATCGGTTTCCTTTCGGATCATAAGTAGTGATATCCGTGTATCGAAACTCACTGGACAAATTAAAAGAAAATTGCATAGGGCACCTTGTCGATTGATGCATAAAGAACCTCATTTAATCTTTTTTCAGAGATTTTTTTTTCTTTTACAATTGACGAAACACCAATTGATGTTATCCAATATTTCCAGGGAATGGGGAGTCCTTATTAATACTCGAAAAGACATCTCATTCTTGGTTTATCCCATTTTCATATCACAGTAGTAATCCAGTCGAATCTGTAACATTACTCCATTATGGTAATCCACTATGATCTGCAGAGAGAAAAAAATAAGAGCAATGACTTCTTATCTTCCCAAAACTTCAGTTACATAAAAACTGCAAGTAACCTGAAGCAAATATAAGCAAATTTTAAACACTGAATCATAACCCATTGCAACACAATTGAAATTGTCTAAGACAGTCAGCCAATGTTGAGGCTCTGAGGATAGTGGTTGTCATTGGTGGATGTCTTACAGTACAGTGTCTTCCAAAGTAAAAAATACGCAAGGCAGGTAATGGGAAGTGGCTGTTTGCACAGGCGATTGTTTTATATTATACCGGTGGCCTTTAAGGAAGGCAAAAGCTCAGACATAAACTAAATGCTTGACAATCATATATAATTACAATCACAAAAACGCTTTAAAAAAAAACAAACTATCACACACACTGAATTATATTATAATGCATAGAAGAGATTCACGTGGCAACTTCTCAAAACACCATAAAACTTAAGAATATTTATGACATCATTTTTCCAACCAGCATCATAATCAATTTGTTAAAACTGTAAAGCAATAAATATCAAACTCAAACAACCTTGACAGTTAAATTTGATTGAACAAACATTTCATGAGCAGCCAAGCAAGAATTTATCAACTGGCAAAAAGAATTCTTGTCCTACTGATATCAATTATATCAAACTAAGGAGTACGCCACAATACGAATTTTAGAAAAGAAAAAAATAAAGTTCTTAAATCTTACATACATGGATGACACACATAAATGCCATCACTAAAATTCGTCAAGAGACAGTTTACTTTTCCATCTCAATAAAAGTTCTACAGAAAATCAGGTTCTGCTATTGGAATGCCTTGTCTTTGAAAATAAAAATACAGAGCTCTACCCTTTATTCTATTATAATAGAACTGACTTCAAATTCTGAAAAGTTTACTAGCTTTGTGCTTCAGGGGAAAAGGGATTCAATTTTTTAAAAATAATTTCTTTCATGTTTACAGATTCAGACTGAAGATGATAAAAAATTGATGGTAAAACTTTACTGCCCTTAAAGTTAAAGTTAACGAACATGAATTAGATCCAGTCACAATCAAATCTACGTCACAGGAAATCTAACCCCTCTACCAACAAACAGTACATAATGAATAACACAGGATATTTGTGTTGAGAATTTCTATCAAGCGCAACCCCCCCCCTCCCCCACACACCCATGTGTACGAACACTGTACAAAACAATTTTTGTTAGCTATTAAATGTACTCTTTAAGGGTCTATTTGAATTTCAATTCATGCTAGCATCAAACTTTTATTGACGTATGATATATGTTGCAAATATACTGAGCATATGGAGGCTCATTCTCAAACATCTACTAACAAATAAAATGTCAGAAATCAAAGCAATTTCATTTGCAGCAAAGACTAATTATTTCAGTAGACAATCTAATATGACTATATATCACAAATATTTAACAGACCACCACCGTTGAGTCTTTTGCATAATAGGAAATGATTTGTGGATTGATGCATGTGCCTCTTTTTGTTTTTTTTAGTAAAGGTTTTACAGCGCTCGCAAGGCATATAAGGTCATGTCATATGAGCGCCAATGTGCCTCTTTGAGAACTGTATCTTGTAACATCTACCTGTGTACCTTATGTCCAACACGGACTAACTTAAGCCTTAAACAGTATTCAAATCCAAATCCTCATTGAATGAATCCTTTTCCTCTACCCTTCCTCTTTTTTTTTTATTCATTGTTGACAATATTGACTTTGTTTTCAAACCAAACCGCTTAGGCTTAGGGCGCCGTAACTTAAGCTTAGCTGAGCATTCAGATTCTATTTTACTCATACACCACAAGCCCCTATATAGGCCCTCTATAGGCTATTATATATAAATTAAATCAAATTCCAAGCTCACATTTGTGTGATTTAGTAGCCTCATTCAGACAGCAGACTCACTTGATGGTAGGAAAAGAATGCATGGGTGAATCAAGTTGTGTTAGGAAAAGAGAATGAATTTGTCACGGATCTAGAATCATGAGAGAGGTAGTAGAGGAGACCAGTTAGGTTTCCGTACATCGTGTCCGCTGGGTATAATCAAAACATTCTTGTGACTACTTAACCAACGCCTTATGCGCACAGCTTTTACTTTTACCTTTAAAGTTTAAAAGTTATCGAGGAAGGAAGCTTTACTCAACACTTCAACTTCTATCAGATTAAGATCCTTTTGACTTCCTGTTAGTGTTACTCTTGTGTGCTGGGATGAAATGGGATAACCCGTCCCAAAGATAAAAGGGGTATACATTACAAAGAAAGACTCAAATTTTGGAAGAAAATAAGAAGTATTTGTATTTGAGTGCGACACATCCAAACAGACAGATAACGGGAAACCGAGACATAACCACTTACTGCAGCCACCGTCTCACTCCCGGCACAGGTAGCGCATACCTTTAGCCGGGTAGGCAACAGTGATCACTGGTTCTCGGGCTTCATGACCTCCCAATACCGGAATAGAATCTAATGTTACATAGCATAATATTGAGTGGGTGAAAGCAGTTAAACTGAATACAGTTTTGTTTTTACGAAGAATAACGAGTAAATTGAAGTCGTGAGTCATTAAAATACAAAGAAATTATTAAATCAAAAGAGGCCCTTGTGGTTCAGAAGAAGGTATGCGACCTTCGGTAAATAAAATGTAAGCACTCGACAGCCGCCATGTTGTTTTCATACAACAGGCTGGGCACAAGAATTTCCATGATTTTGAGGTTACAAAGACATTATAGTGCATAAAACTCATATCATAATTAGCATAAAATGAGTAAATATGCGAGAAGTAGTACAAAAAGTATTTTAAATGGGTAACTTACTTAGTATTTAATCCAAAGTCGTGTCACACGGACTCCCTTATTCCAACGCCGCGGAGGGAAAGATTACCTGTGAAAGGGGTGATAGGTTCTAGACAACAACGTTTCGGTGATAAATTGCTTCTTTCCAAACCTTTTCAAAATGCTACAAAATGCTAAAAACTGCTGATAAAACGTTAAGATTAAGTTGAAACATACATAAAAGGAAGAAGAGAATCGTCAAATGAAAAAAGGTACTGATCGAGTACACCAACCTGACACCCCCTCGGAACAAGGAGGCCAGCAACGCATTCCATGTCTCAGCGTGATTGACAGACGCCCCGCCTCTATGACATTGTTGACATTCCTGAGTGATCATGTGTTTAATCTATTTTCTTGCAGAGGGTAGGCCTCGTGTGGACAGATCTTTTTAAAGAGCTGTAATATCAAGAACACACGTGCGAGAGGCTTTCTGTTGACAGCGTTTCAATGAAATCTTTGCTCTCTACTGTGCAGGGGACGACGACCTATTTTCGAGCAGGCCAGCATAATTATTTTGTGTGTTCTCCGATACCCCGTATAGTATAGGCCTACATAATATCTTCATATTATGATAACAATTATCATAGCCCTCGATCCGTTTGTTTGTCTTTATACTTTTAGCACCCCGTCCCACGATCCCGAGTATCAGATTTTAATTAGAAAATGCTCGCGGAAGTTTTTCTTTCCTATCTAGATTATCTGTTAACTCTTGGCTTATTTTACAATAAAGTAATAGGTTCCCCCAATAAAACAGAAAAGAAAGAAACCTCCTTTCCATCTCTCTCTCTCTCTCTCTCTCTCTCTCTCTCTCTCTCTCTCTCTCTT